TTCAGTTTTCATGTCATGATTACATTGGGTTACCTTTGAATGTTTATCTTATACTCGTTATAGGCTGGATATTTTACTCACACTGTCTGATGAGAAGTCCTGATAACAAGGTGATAATGTGAATACCTTTATCCCTGTTTAGCAGAAAAAGAAAACTAGAGCATAATTTGTCCAAAATTACATGACAGTTAGGGATCACAACCTGGTTTCATCTTAGTCTCTTTGATTCCAGAGCTTGCATTTTTAAACTTCTACACTATTTTTCTTGCCATCTTGAAAATGTTGATAGTAAGGCATATTTCACTTCAATAAGAAATTGAATGACATATAGAAAACACAGCTAGCTTTGTGCAGGTCTTTTTTGCATTTATAGTTAACAGATTAATAACAATTCCGTTACTAGTTTTTATTTAAAATTATCACATCTTTATCTCTTAGCTTACCATAGGCTAGAATGGCTCCCAATACTTTGTTTCCCAATAATGCATTATCTAATGTGGCTTAATTTAAGGCCCAAAACAGTCTTTAAATAAGTGACATGTTTTCTTAATTTTGATAAAGAAGCATCAAAATGTTTGTTTTCACTTTGCATCCAATTTCATAAGCAATTTCAGACTAATTCAGACATCAGCTTAAACAGCTTTGTTCAAGACAGTGGCAAACTTTAAGCTTTAACCTGTCAGAAACAATGCTACTGCTGTATAAAACACAGGAGTATGAAATGGAGGTTAAGCTAACTGTGCATGAAATTGTAGTCACTAAAGAAATTTCACAGTTGCTTAAAATAGCTTTGCTTTTGTAGTGTCTATAGCATCAATACAAGAACTTATTTCTTTAAAGGAAACAAATATTTACTATCTGTAACAGATTATTCTAATTGTATAAAAAGATTCACAAAGAAGGTTTTTTTTTTTTTTTTGGATACAAGTGAGTTTGGCAACTGTTCAAATTCAGTGTATCACTAAGACTCTTGAATAGCAACAATGCTAAATAATGACAAATATTTACTTCATAATAATGGCCACTAATATTCATTAAGTTGTCATATGTGAAGATACTCTTCCAAGCCCTTTAAGTGAATTGATTTCTATAATATCCTTATAATAGATAAGTATCATTAGTATCCCCATTTTATAGTTGAAGCCAGAGCAGACAGATCTTGCCTATGGTCTTGCAGCTACTAAGGGGCTATAAATAACAGTTTCAAAGTTTATTTTATGGAATTTTTTTGTTTCAACGGAAAATATTTTCACATCTGCCTTTAATATGAATAACAGTCTTTATAAATTAGTAACTGTTTCTATCTAACCATATGAAAACATTCTGTCACACTTGTAGATTATAATATTTAAAAAGAAAATAAACCCTTAAATTATTTCAGGCTACCTTAAAGCTGCATTTCCTAGATGTACCTACTTCAGAGTCCAAGTAATCTTTCCATTTATATGCTCAATAGTGTTTATTCTCTAGAATGCCAAAATAAACTGAAAGTCCACTATCTTCTAGAAGTATAAGAATTACTCATGGGTATTAGACTATCTGAGTGCCAAGTATTCTGTCTGTGCTTCATGGGCTTACACCTAAATCTGATGTTAAGAAGTTAATCACGAAGAGAATCAAAATCAGTAAAAATTAGGAGGAAGTAAGAGTCAATCAATGTTAAAATTGATACATCTTAACCTGGCAAAGTGGTGTGCACCTGTAATCCTGGCCAAGAAGCTGAAGCAGAAGAATCCTGGGGGCCCAGGACATCAGTCTGGGCAATGTAGAAAAACACGTCTCAAAAAAAAAAATTTTTTTTTGAGCAGTCTGTGATGGTGCATGCCTAAAATCCCAGCTACTCTTGAGTCTGAGCCAGGAGGATCACAAGTTCAAGACCAACCTGAGCAACTTAGCAAAACTGTCTCAAAATACCCAAAACACTGGCGATATAGCTCAGCACCCCCTGGATTCAGTTCCTACCATGACAAAAAGGTGGGGATTGGTATATCTTAATCTAAAGATATAACATATTAGTCCTTGTGGAAATAACCAGTACAAGAACTTTAAAACAAGTAATTTAAAAGTTACTTTATAAGGCTGGGGATTTAGCTCAGTGGCACTGCGCACCTGCCTCACAAGTGCAAGGTCCTGAGTTTGAACCCCAGTACCAAAAAAAGTGGAGTGAGAGACAGAAAACTTTTTTTCTTATTTTATTCCCTTTCGGGTTGTTTTATTATTACTGTTTCCAGATGCATTGATTTCTTTAAAGAACCCATTGAGCTATGTACTATAAACAAAATGTAAATATGTGCCAGCTATTTTGTGTGTTATTTTCACTTATTTGTAGCCTTTCTTAAAGATGATCATAATGGCCCATTTGGGGGGAAAATAGTGATTTGATTGTTGAATAAATGGAGTGATAACATCATTAGTAACAATTGTTTTTGAGTTTGGCAGCCAGTTTTTTGTTTTGTTTTGTTTTATTTGTTTGTTGTTTTTCTTTTTTTTTTTTCTCAGTAGCAGGGATCAAACTCAGGACCTTGAGCTTGCAAGGCAGGCATGGCTCCACCCCTACAGAATTGCTTTTGAAAAGGTACCCTTTGCTACCATATCTTCTTCCTCTTCAGTTCTTGAAGTTACTGAGTAAATTTTTAGATATTTTCACTATTCAAATTATTATAGGTCATATTTTTCAAGCATTTGGGGGCAAAAAAGACTTTTTCCTTTTTCACATACTATATAGAAAATAGTTTGTCATTTAAAAAATATTTTTACTACTAAAGAATTTTGTTTCACTGAAAAAATTCTTACTAAGATTTAAAGCTCGGAGTCGTTTTTACCAATTGTTTGAACCTCATGAAATATAGTGGTCATGTTCTCTTTCTCTTTGTTTCTTCTCATTGAGTGATACTTCCTAAGTATCAGTAGGCTTGAATGCACTGTTCCAAGTGATGACCTGGAATCATTCATTCTTGTGGCTGAAGCTTGTATGAACTTGGAGTCATCCTGCCCCCAGCCCAGCCTCCCAAATGCTGGGAAATTGCAAGTGTTTGCCACCATGCCCAGCTGGCCATGTTTTTTTAAGATTTTTTTTTTTCTCAACTTGTCTGATCAAGAGGGTCCAAATTTTGTACAATAACAATTTATATAGAATTAAATCAATTCAATTTTAAATTTTATTGCTGCCCAGGACATTCGAGGTCATTGTAATTCTTAACCTGAAATCCATCACTGGTTTCCGAAAGTTCATAAAAAACCTACAATAAAGCAAAATTCTATGAGATTATCAAAAGGATCTGTGATACCCCAAAAATGAAGAACTCTTGATCTATCCCAGAATTACCACTATGTTAAGAGTATCTTTTGTTAGCTCATCCTAAGGTGCTTTTTCAATTTCTGCTTTGTACTTTGCTTTATTTTCCAAGGTATTTTAAACAAATGTGTCTGCTGTGTGATTTTTTTCCCCTTAATTAAATTCTAACTTTAGAGCTTTAAAAGCAAATCAGTGTTTAGCTCTTGGACCACCATAAAAAGCAAAACTAAAAACTAAGTGGAAATAAATGTGTTATGATTTTAAAATTACTGTCCTTCTCTTAAAGTCAAAATATTACCAAGTACTATATTCCTGTCTTTATAAAATATTAGGCAGGCTAATGGTTTAAGGGCGGGAATGGTATTTACCACTGAATCCATTTCAACTGAATTCATTGCAATAAAATATTTGTATTTGAGGTTTTTTTTAATAAGCTTTTACTATAAAGAGAATGTGCTGGTTTTATAACTAGAGAAGCAATGTTTACCATTAAATTCATTTCAACTGAATTTCATTAAGGGAAAATATTTATATTTGAGACCTTTATAATGAGATTTTACTGGCTTTCCTATATCATCTTTACATAGCACTTCCTGTAATAATTACTTTTAAAAGATGTTGGACTTTTATTTAATTTTAAATCATTGATCACATACTAAAAGTAATTGGAGAATTCTTTTTAATGATCCAACTTGGATAGATGGATATATACGTACACACACACACACATAATTGGGTTCAGTTTAAAATTTTGTGAAGACCTTCCTAGGACATCTGACTAAAATTCATTGTCCAGGTTCCTTACCTCCTTTAGAGTAGGATTGACAGCACTCCCAAGTAGGGTTTAAGTTCCTCTACTATTCAGTATGCCAGTGGTGGTGAACCTATGGCTTGGGTGCTGTTTCTTTTTTCTTGTAAGATAAAAGTTGTTAACATATGAGCTGTTTTTCTAAACTAATAGGTTTAAGTGCAGTGTTGGCACTTTGTGATAAATAAGTAGGATTGGGGTTGCAATTGGGCCGCTCATCTCTAAAAAGTTCACCATCACTGCAATATACAAAAGGGACATCTCTCCTTAGGAGATGAGGGGTGCATTCCAAGACTCAAAGTAGAAAATTATAACAATGTGCTGACATATCTGAATTTCCAGAATTACTACTCTTATGTAAAATAAAGGATATTGGAGTACAATCCCTGTGATTTCACAATAGTCAGATATTGTAGGCAGGTACCTCAGTGACTAACAGGCAGGTAGCATATAGCTTGGATACTGTGGACAAAAGAATGATTCCATGTTCCAGGCAAGATGGAATAAGATTTCATCATACTATTTAGAACAATACATGATTTAAAACTTTTGAATTGTTTATTTCTGGAACTTTCTATGTAATGTTTTCAGACTGCAATTGTCTGTGTCTAACTGAAATACAAATAAAGGAGTATACTTCAGCTGAACCTCCATTTCTTCCTCTATTTGACAGGAACTCTATAGTCTATTAACACTGGCTCTTTTTTTAAAAAAATCTGTATATCTTCTTAACTATGTTTATGTTATGGATTTTTAAAATTTGTCTTTATGGCATTAGAGCTCAAACCCAGGACTTTTCGTATGCTAGATAAATGCTCTATAGCTCTGAGCTCTCCCCCAAAATATCCCACATTTTAAATTGAGACCCAAGTTTTTTAATTCTTTTTGCTTTTGTAGCTATATGCAGGAGCTATTCTTGAAGTCTGTGGATGAAAATTGGGGAGGTTCCCTCAAGTCCAAGGTATGTAGTAAACTTTAATTTTTAAAATCAGCGTTTCACAAGAATAGTTTCATTAAATAGTCCCTAAAATAGAAATTTTTAGGATTGTACTTTCTTAGTAATGTGTGAATTTTTTTTTCTCATTTGCTTTTATGGAGGTAAGAGTTTTTTTTATTGTTGTTATTTTTTCTTATTGAGTTTATTGGTACTTTTTAGGTATACAGTACAGTTACATTCATCATTGGGATCTTGTACCTTTACCTGACAGGTTTTGGTTCTCATTTTTTCCCCATACCCATGCCCTCCCTTCACCCTCTCCTCCCTTCCGTATTTACAAAAACTTTCCATTTTTTTGTTTATTCAGATTTTTTTTCTTTAACTTATATCCTTTCCCCTACCCTTCCCACTGTGGAGGTAAGAGTTTTCTAGTAATCGGTGACTACTAGATTACTATAAGCAAGGACAATATATGACAGTCTTTCCTTTACCAGATATAAATATAATTCCTTTGACACATCATTCTACTGTACAGCTTTTTTTTTTTTTTTTTTAAGAAATAAATTTTGCTGCTTTTTTTTTTGGGTACCAGGGATTGAACTCGGGTCCTTGTGCTTGCGAGGCAGGCCACCGAACCGCTGAGCTAAATCCCCAGCCCACGTGTTTTTTTTGTTTTGTTTTTTGTTTTTGGTACCAGGGATCAAACTTGGGTCCTTTTTGCTGCTTTTTTTGAAACAGGCTTTGTAGTTCAGGCTGGCCCTGAACTCACGAGGTATTCTTGGCTAGCCTCAAACTCGTGGCAATCCTCCAGCCTCAGCTTCTGAGTGCTAGGATTACAGGTGTGTGCCACCATGCCTGGCCTGTACAGCTTTTAAAATGTGGATTGATTTACATAAAACTCCTAAGGAAGGAACGATTGCATTAAGTGAACATAGACCAGCATTGAATGACAGATGACCAAGAAGAGAGTTAATTACAGTACCATAGAATTTGGTGTACACATGACAGAATCATACTGTGTGTACCTTCACATGGAATTTTAATGGTAAATATGTTAAAGGATAATTGTGAAGATGTAATTGTTTTAAAACATCGAACAGTGATAGATAGAGCTTTGCATTTCTAAGAGTTTGGACTCAGGCTTTCTAGTCTATCCTTGTGTGTCACTTGAAAAGCAGTGTTATAAAACTGAACTGAATTGCTCTGAAAGTAGCAAAGCTCTTTTGTTTTTAACCAAAATACTTAAGTGTTCAATTTATCTTGATTTAACTTTTGCTGATTTCCCCATGATTTCTTGTCTGTTTTATTTCCAAAATTAAAGCATGCCTTTTATTGTTGATCTGGAATTGTTTATGATAAAATACTACTCATTTTGTTGCAGAAGTGGTATACTTGAACTTGGAGACATTTTTCCTAAAGCCCAGCATTAACTCTAGTTGGCCTTTGAACAGTTTTTAGATCCTGCATGATATTGTAATGTGGTTGGCGTACAAGTCTTTTGCCCCTACCAAACTAGGAACTCCTTAAAGCCCAGAATTTTAAAACTTTTTATCATTAATATTTCCCAAATCTACCAAATACTATTCCTAAGAGAAATTCCTTTTTTTTTATTGAATGAATGCATTTATTTATTGAATTTATGTAATTCAGTGGGATGCTCCCCCTTTGACAAATGGGAATCTGCTAAAAAGCCTCTATTTACATTGGTTATTTACTCCTGATCTATTTTTTAGGCTTTTCATATTCCTTATCTGCTCTGTACTGAGAAGTCAAAAGTTTTCATTAGTCTTCCCTTTGTTATTTTACCACCAATCTCCCCGGCTTCCCTTATTTAAGTCACTTTTGTCTAGATATTTTTAAGTGCCTTGTCATTTGGGGGTGACCCAAATGACTCATAATTTTGCACTCTTAAAGGTTGGTATACAGTAGTAAATTTTTTTTTAAATAACAGTTAGCTTTCATTCAGCACAGTTGAGAATTTAAATGTAGCTTTCTTTTCTGGTACCAGGGATCGAACTTGGGACCTTGTGCTTTCCAGGCAGGCACAGCACTGCTGAGCTATATCCTCAGCCCTTAAAAGTAGCTTCTAGTTCTCATCTTATGTTGCTACTTCTGGGTGTAGTGTAACATTTTTATTTAGAGTTTATTCTGATACAAATGTTATGTATCTCTAATCTGCAGAAAAACAGCTAATTGTCCATCCATGTAATTTTATTTATTTATAGTAGTTCATACATCTTAATCATACCTACTATAAGCTCTTACAGTCTTAAAATCAGTATAAAACAATATGTAACTGTGTTGTATCATTATATCATTAAAAGGCATATCATTAGATCTAGCCAAGTATGTTTTATCTCATTTGGGTGTTTTTTAAGAGAGCATTTTTTTTTTTTTTTTTTTTTTTTTTTTTTGGTACTGGGGATCGAACTCAGGACCTTGCACTTGCAAGGCAGGCAGCGGAACCACTAAGCCAAATGCCCTGGCCCTAAAATAGCATAATTCTTTTCTTTAATCTCAAAGCATATATTTCCTTATTATGTCCCCATCCCCATTTGCACACTTTTTTTGGTGTGTGTGGCACCTGGGATCCAACTCAGGACCTTGAGCTTGTGAGGCAGGCGCAGTACCACTGAGCTAAATCCCCAGCCCAGCACACTCTTTATGGAACGAGGAGGGGAAGACAGAAGTTTCTGAGCGGTGTGCTCAACAAAACTTAACGCTTAGGGGCTAATATAAATAACATGCTTAGAATTTTAAGGAAATGCTGAAACATTTAATCTGCTTTTAAGTATTTGATCATTTTGAACTGTTCTTTGCAAAATTACCTTTATAATTGACAAGTAATTAAATTGGCAGAACATTGTCTGGAAATGGAGTAATAGGTTTAATTCCTTTAAAAATTAGATGTTTCCAAAAGATATTATTGATCTGTTTTTAAAGCAACAGAAAGTAAAGTAGAAAATAAGTTACTTTTCTGCCTTTGCAAATTTTTACCTTTGTTTAACCACTGTATGCTACCAGTGGGCTCAGTTTTATTTTTTGAATTTCTTTTTTGGTCTCTCGCTATTTGTAAGGATTATTATTACTGAATTGCTTTTATTTTTTCTTTGAAGTCTCTAAGAGAATAAAGAATTGTATTTTTGATAGAATAAAATTTCTTCTATTTTGCAATTGCACTTATCAGTCCCCTGAATACTTTTATATAAAGTCTGCCTAAAAATGTATATATCAGGAAAAGAAAAACTTGTATGAATATTTTAATACTAAATTTATTGGGACATCTCGATGTTAGTACAAGATATCTTTGGCCTCTACAATTACAAGAGGTGCTCAAAGTGATGGCCATTAGCTTCCAGACTTTTATCAGTACAGCAAACTGCTGGAGTGTGTATACATTTTATTGGTGGATTCTGTTATATCTAGATACATTATGAAATTGTTGAACAGCTGTTATATACAATTATGCTACAAGAAGGATGATGCAATAATAAGATGAATTATTGAACGCATTTGAGAATTCAGATTTTGTTTTCTGCTCATAATGGTACAGAAGAACACTGACAAAAATATTTTATAATAATTAAACAGATCAGAACATAAATTTAATAAGAAAATATTTACATTGTCCAATAGCTACATTGTCCAATTAGGTAGCCACTAGCCAAACATAACTGTTTAAATTAATTAAAATTAAAGGAAACACTCAGAAAATATTAAACATCAGATAAAATATTTCCATTAATGCAGGAAGTTCTATTAGACAGTGGTGCTCTAGACTAACAATGATAATAAAATTTATTAAATAGAATCTCAGACTGAAACCTCATTTGATAATATTTGAATAAATTTTCTCAAAATCAGCATCAGTGAGTAAACTATATATTACTAGGAAAAAAAGGAAATAAGGTAGTTATGTTATTCATCCAACAGGAAATTGAACCATTCTATTTTCCTGAAAGATCGTGTAAATCATATTTATCTTTTAGCTTTTATGATGTTTGTATATTAAAATTTACTTGATAAACTTTGTAAGTGGGCAAATCTAAAGCAGCTGTATACAAACATTACTTTTTAAAATGAAGTGACAGGCCATAGATGTATGTAAGCTTAGTGATACAGCATGTGTTTAGTATGTGCTTAGCAAGCACAGGGCTCTGGTTTGATCCCCAGCACCAAAAACAGATAATTGGGACATAAAAAATTCATTGGATTTATTCTAATTTAGTGTTTGTGCACTTAAAAATATAGGTTTTACAAATTTAAGGTGGCTATTTTATCTTCAACGAAATACTTCATTGAAGATGACACTGTAAGTGCAAGAAATAATAGTAAGCTAAATCCTATTAGAAATATGTTTGCAATCTGTAATCAGTATTTACAAAATGGCTTAATTCCAAGTTTATATAGTACAGCCAAGGAACAGTTGACTTGTGTTCAGACAACATCGGGCACATTCAGGGTGGTATGGCCATAGACCACTTTACTTGCATTCAAAGCACAGGCCCATTTTGTTTGCATTTACCTTTAAAGCCAGGAAAATACAGAATAAATATATGAATTTGCTGTATTTAAACTCTTATTAATATTTCCAATAGATTTTTTGATTTCTCTTTAGTTTTTGTAAAAGTATTCACAAAATCATTTAAAAATATAAAAAGTTAACAGAGTCCACTGATCCCCAATGTTAAATAGTGATGACAATTTTTCCTTGTATTCTAAAAGTTAAAGTATTGCAGCTCTCTTCTTCTGGAATTTTGTATTATATTTAATTTCTCACTGTAAACATGTTGCTCAGCACAGATATGAGGGAAAATTCTCACAATGGTTTACAAGTTATAAGGATAGTGAAGTTTACTCTCTTGGGTAAAACTTTTTAAGCTGTTTTGACTATATCAATTTCAAATTATAGAAATTAATTATTTAAAATATTAAGAGATAAAATATTTTTGCATCCTTTATGTTGTTGAAGGAAAGACATTGTTTTGTAAACAGGTGAATTTTTAAATTTTCAGTTCTTCAGTGCTATTTCTGTATCATCCCAACATAATAAAATCTTTTTGTAAGCTTATAGTACTTATTATCTGTTGTTAGATGAACAGCATTTGAGTTAGCTTCTGTGCTTGGTCCTCTTTGATCCTAAGTAGTGCAAACAAAAAAAGGAAGGATTAAAAGCATTTTTTCTCCTTGGTGCTGGAGATTGAATCCAGGGCCTGGTATATTCTAAAAACAAGCTTTGTCATAGAATTGTTTTTCCTCACATTCTATGTAGCATGTCCAATGTCATGTGTTTTTAAGTCCTCAAATATTTGTTAAAAGGTTCATTTATTCCTTGTAAAATGTCATTTGTCTATGAGATATTTAATAGATATTTTTCTTCATTCAAAAATTACAATGCTTATGGATCTATACTTAGCAGAGAAAAGAAAGAGCTGATGAATGTGGTCATTATGACTCATATTAGTATTCCTTTTAAATTTGTTCACTCATCCCAACCTATTAAATACTGTTGAATGAATGGAAATTATTAAATGTGCTAAATTCTGTTTTGAATACAAAGATTTAAGAATAATTTTTAACCCAGAGAGATTTTTTTATAGGAAAGGTAAATTAACACAATTAAAGTGTGTTAAAGAGTGTTTTACATAGGCATGCATATCTGCCAGTAGATAGTTGTTAAAATGCAAGACCTTATCCTAAGATATCCATTTTCTTTGGGAATTCAAAAGTTTACAGAGTAAACAAGTTGTCCTGAAAGATTAAGTTAATAGAGAAAATCCTCTCTTCAGCCAGAATAACAGTTTTATTTTAAACTAAATATTGTAGGGGGAGATTAGATTGGTCATCTAAATAGCTTCCAAAATTCTTTTTTAAAAAAAAGACCTTTTGCAGTCTTTGTATTCTTGTCCTGAATAACAAGTATATAAGGATGTTCATAGTGACACTTCTATATGCTATTGCAATCATTCTAAGATTTAAAAATAAGTTTTCCAGGGCTTGGGATTTAACTCAGTGATTCTGTCGTCTGCCTTGAAAGCTCAAGGTCCTGAGTTTGATCCCCAAAAACTAATAAGTTTTCCAAAGCATGTGTGTTGCTTTAAAATCTTAAGATTAAAGTGTTGGAAATGATATTTAAAACTGGCATTAAAAACTCTTAGGTAGTTTGTCGCAAGTTCAAGGTCAGCCTGGGCTACATTGTGAGTCCAAGGCCAGCCTAAACTACACATAGCAAGATTTAGTCTCAAAAAAAAAGAGACAAGCACAAGGTCCTGAGTTCAATCCCTGGTACCAAAAAAAAAAAAAAGAAGATAGAGCTATCAGGCAGATATATGAGTGAAGCATGACTTATTTTTGAAAAATATAAACTTTAAACAATTAGACATGATCATTATTGAAAAACATCACTTATTATTGATGTAAGAACCAACTGTGAGGGAAATATTCCTTTAAAATTTCTCCTAATTTGTGCCTCAGGTATAGCCTCCATTAAGTAGCATTCTTAAAAGATTGTATTTAATGCTTCCAGACTTTTTCATTTGCAGTGAAACTGGGTAAATATCCATCCTTTTCTTAACAAAGATAGAAACAAACTGATCTCCGGCCTGCTACAGATTGTTGTAGTAGTTATACATTGGAGATATTCATTTCTGTTTCACTAAATACTGTACAGATCAACATGATTTTTAATGGTGGAACATGTTAATTTATTCAGCTGATAGCCTTTTACACCTGAGATTTGAGATTATTTTCCGTATTGTGCTACCAGAACCTTAAACGATAATTTCTTCATATCCATTGTTTCTTTGGTATAATGCCTTAAGAATAAACTAGTAGGTTTAAAGGATATGTACCTCTTAAGGCCTCCAGTTCATTTCCTAAATACCCTTTAGAAAAGAGGTTTGCATTTTGTCCCAAACTCACCACTAGCAAAATCTTTCACAGCTGAGCTATACTATCATTTTGTTAAACCCCAAAACTCTCATTGGAATTGGGGTTTGATTAATTTGAAAAATTAATATCTTAAAATATTTAGTCTTCCTATCAAAGATATGGTGTGTCTCTCCATTTACTCACATTTATATTATCTGTTTAAATTTCTTTGTATTTTTCCATAAAGGATACAATGTTTCATCTAGGTTTATTTCCACCTTTAGTATTGGTCTTTGTAGCTAGCTTGAATTTAGATGTAAACAGTTTAAACTCATTTTTCTTTTTAGCTTTCGTCAGAAGCGATAAGCCCAAACTGTTCAGAGGACTACAAATCAAGGTAAGATGATTTTAATGCACTCTCTTTTCTCAGTGTTACTTTGTGTCTTTTTGAATTGAAATAAATATTTGGGTTTTTTTTTTATTAATAGACTTTATTTTTTAGAACAGTTTCAGGTTTATAGAAAAACTAAACAGAAAGTAGAATGGTTCCGTTGTCTCTTTGGCCCTCATTCTTGCCCTCAGTTTCCTAGGTTATAGTATCTTCTGTTGACATGGTACATTGTTGAAATAATCTTGATGCATTAAGTTCCATAGTTTGCATTAGATATCACCTTTTTTGTTGTGTAATTCCAGTTTTACCAAATGAATTCTATGTTGTATCCACTATTATAGTATCACCCAGAATACAGTTTCTCTGCTCTGAAATTCCCCTGTACACCACATGTTCATACCTCTCTCCTGCCAGCCACTGGCAACCACTGATCTTCTGTCCATAGTCATTCCAGAATGTCACATGCTTGTAATCATATAATATGTAGCCTTTTGAGATTGGTTTCTTTCACTTAACAGTGTGCATATAAAATTCTCCAGTGACTTTCCTTATTTTAATAACACCTTTTTATTGCAGAACAACATTCTTTGTTGCCATTTTTTTTTATTCATTTGTGGAAGAGCATCTATATATGACTTGCAATGTTTGGTGATTATCAATACTAAAGCTGCTATAATAAACCGTATAGTTTCTTTGTATGCATAAGTTTTTGACTCATTGAGTAAATACCTAGGAGGGTGATTGCTGGATAATACAATTAAGAAACTTAGTAAGTTTAACTTAGTAAGAAATTATAGACTCTTCCAAAGTGGGTGGCAGTGAATAAGTTACTATTGCTCCACACCCTCACCAGCATTAGATATTGTAACTGTTTGGGATTTTAACCATACTACTGGTATCATTTGTTTTAATTTACTTGTTGACTGTTTGTATATCCTATATGGAGCATTGTCTTTTGCCTATATTTTAATTGGGAAGGTTTGTTTGGATGTTGAGCTGTAAGGATTCTGCATATATTCTGGATTTTAACCCCTTATCCAGGTATATGATTGCTAGTATTTTCTCCTTGCTGTCTGTTCATTGTTTCTTTTAGTAGACGGAGCTTTAAAGTTTTGGTGTCCTATTTGTCTCCTTTTGCTTATTTTCACACTTTATTTGTTTTGGAGTTTTGGGGTTTTTTTTTTGGCCAATCTTTAAAAGTTCTTTGTATAATTTAAATGCAAGTCCTGTATCAGAGATGTGTTCTGCCAAGATTTTCTCAGTCTGTGGCCGTCTTTCATTTACTTAAGCATTGTCTTTGACAGAGCACAACATTTCCTTTTGGGACTGAGGGATATAGCCCACAGCACTTGCCTAGCATGGATGAGGTCCTAGGTTTAATCTCCAGTGCCCCCCCAAAAAAATTATTTTAAGAAAGTTTAATTTAGTATTTTTCTTTCATGAATTATGCCTTTGATGTGCAGTATCTAAAAGCTCATTGAGAAACACAAAGTCATCCAGGTTTCTTCCTATGTTGTCTTCCAAAAGTTTCGTGATTATTTGTTTGTTTGTTTGTTTTACAGTTGGGTCTGTGATCCAGTTTAAGTTAAATTTTGTGAAAGGCATAAGATCTGTGTTTTGATTTGGGTTGCCTGCATATGGATTTTCATTTGTTCCGGCATTTTGAAAAGACCATCTTTTCCCATTGTATTATCTTTGCTTATTTATCAAGGACCAGTTAATTGTATTTGTGTACTTCTATTTGAAAACCTCTTATTTTGTTCTGTTGATGTATGTTCTCGTTGACCAATGCCACTAGAGCTTTTTAAGTCTTGAAGTCAAGTAGTCTGAGTCCTTCAACTTTGTTCTTTTCCTTCAGTGTTGTTTTGGCTATTCAGATATCCTGCCTGTCCATATGAACTTTAGAATCAGTTTTACACAAAATAACTTGACAGAGTTTTGATTAGGATTACATTGAATCTATAGATCAAATTGGAGAAACTTATAGCTACATTGAGCCTTCCTAAACATGAAATGAAGTATCTTTATATTTAAACATTTTTGTACTTTTCATCATAATTTTGTCATAATTTTTCCTTATACAGTTCTTATACATATTTTGCTAGATATATACCTAATAATTTCTTTCCTCTGTGTATGTGTGTGTGTATATACACCAGTCAGCTCTGTTTCTATAACAAATACTTGAGATAAATCAACTTAGAAAGGCTTTCTAAGGCTGGTGTCATCTCTGTCTCTCAGACACACACACACACCTGTGTAATGCCAACTCTTCAGGAGGGTAAAGCAGGAGGATCACAAGTCCATAGGCAGCCTGGGCAACTTCATAAGACCCTGCCTCAAAAAGTAATGAAAAGGGCTGGAAATATAACTCAGTGAAAGCCCTAGGTTTAATCCCCAGTTTGCCACAGAGAGAGGTTTAATAAGAGTTTCTGTCAAATGACAATTGCCACCATTGCTTTGGGTATGTGGCTGCACATTGTGGCTGGAGCACATACATTGTAGAACAAAGCTGTTCACCTCATAACCATGAATAAAAACGATAGGAATTAAGAGTCCCACATGTGGTCCTCTTTGAGAGCATCCCCTCTGATGACTAGAAGATCTCCCACTATATCCCACCTCTTAAAGGTTCTACTACTTTTGGTAGCTCCATGCTGGAGTCTAAACATTTCACACATGGGCCTTTGGGAGTGTTTAAGATCCAGACTTCAGCAGTTGCCTAGTATAAATAGTATTGTGTTTTAATTTCAAATTTGAGCTGTTCGTGACTGATACATAGAAAAGTAATTGATGTTTGTATATTAACCTTTTATCCTTACTGTCCAGTTCCATATGTTTTTTGTTGATTCCTTGGGGTATATATAAACAATCATGTCATCTGTGAGCAAAGTTTTATTTCTTCTACAAACTGTATACATCATGTGTATTTTACTTACTGCATTAGCTAGGACTTCCAGTAGTACTGAGTTAGGGTATGAGTGAACACCCTTGACCTGTTCTCTTATGGGAAAAACATCTTGTTTTTTTCACCATTATGTACAATTTCAGTGCTATGGGCTCTTTTTTAAAAAAATTTAAATTGAAGAAGTCCCCTCTTTCTAGTTAGCTAAGAGTGTCATGAGTGGGTGATGAGTGCTTTGTCAGATGCTCTTTATACGTCTATGAATATGATTATATGTCTTTTTTCTGGTTTAACCTATTAATAATAATGGAATAACATTAATTTTCAAATTTTACAACAATCTTATATGTCTGATATAAATCCCCATTATCATAGTGCATAATTTCTTTTATATGTTGTTGAATTCAATTTCTTAAGATTTTTTTTTTTTTTTGTACCGGGATTTGAACTTGGGTCCTTGTGCTTACGAGGCAGGTGGCGGAACCACTGAGCTAAATCTTACCCAGCTCTCGATTTGCTAGTATATTATACAAGATTTTTACAACTATGGTCTACCTAGCTTATTAATTCTTTTTTGCATTAGAGTAAGTTTTTGAATACATGAATAAAATTTTTAAAACAATTTATGTAGTAACTTGAGCAGAAATGTTGAAGTAATATGGTGATAATATTTCATTCATTCATTAGGTCAGACAGCCTATATTTCTGTATTTCGCAAATGGGTTGGGAATATACCTGTGCTAATGATTTATATCAGAGATTACCTCTATTTCTGGAATTCACAATCCCAGAGAACCTAAAACAACTGAAGTATAACAGTTGAAAGAAGTTTTCTTCACTGCTGTATTTTTAGTTATCATGTTCTACATAATTTAAAATTGAAGATTTACTCTTAAATAAATTGATGTTTATTTTCATATTTATCTAGAGTTAGAATTTCTTTTTGGTTTTTTGAGACAGGGTCTCACTATGTAGTTGAGACTGGAACTCACTATGTAGCCCAGGCTGGTCTTGAACTCACAGTGATCCTCCTGCCTCAGCCTCAGTGCTGGGATTACAGTGGTATACCACCACACCGGGCAAGTTAGAATTTCTTTGGGCTCTCTTTTGTCTGGAGCTAATGGGTCTGAAGTTTCAGGAATTCAGCTTCATTCTAAACTGATTACAATAAAATTACTAGGTTTCTAAAGCCAAGGAAAATTAGTGATCCAGTATGGGATTTTGTGTTTGATAATTTTTGTGCACAGCCTATGTCAAACATTGTTATACCATTATTCTTCTATCTCATTATTTTGGTCTGCCTCCACCATTAGATGTTTAAGTTCATTTGACTTTGAGAGAGTATGTAATAAATATGTAATAAATATATATGTAATAAATAGTTTGTTACATTCAGTGATAATCTTTAATCCCAAATAAAATGTCAATAACAATAAATATTTTTTCTCTTTAGAAGTAAAATTAATTTTTATTTCTCATATGTATTAAATTATATTTAATTCTTTCCTGAAAAAATTCATTGAAGACCTATTGATTATGATGTTATATCTAAAAGCTTTTATTACTGTTACATTTAATAGTCTGTGTTGATCTTCTGTGAGACGGAGAAGACTCTCTAAGCGAAGAAGAGTGATAATGTCCCTCTTTTTTGTAGTATGTTCGTGGTTCAGACCCTGTACTAAAGCTTTTGGACGACAATGGGAGCATTGCTGAAGAACTAAGCATCCTGAAATGGAACACAGACAGTGTAGAAGAATTCCTGAGTGAAAAGTTGGAACGTATATAAATCTTGCTTACATTTTGTCCTATCTTTTTGTTACTGAAATATTACAGCACCTAGAAAAGAATTTAGTTTTGCTTACTTTCATTAATTAGTCATTTATTGTGAGGCATTAAGCATCTAATAAAAAGTTGAAGTGGCAGCACAAACCATCACAACTAAGGAGGTGGCAAGATTAACAAAATTCATTTTTTAATAAATTTCTATTCTCTGCATGTTAATACCACTAACAAAAGTGCTTTGTGATAGTCTTGTGATTAATTGTATAAATGATAGTTTGTGACTATTGGTCCAGTCTTATAAACATGTTTTTCAGTTAGATTGGTTAAGGGCTGGAGATTTAGCTCAATGGTGCCACTGCCTGCCTCGCCAAGCGCAAGGTGCTAAGTTCGATCCCTGGTACCAAAAAAAAAAAACCAACTTTACTCAAATTAGATTGGTTAAGAAGGGAGAATGTTACTCATTTCAGAAAACTACAGAGCAAATAAGATATACTAAGCCTCAACAGATTGCCTGCTTCTTAGAACCTCTCCTATTTTTGTATTGCCCAACTTTCTTTTTAATGGAAATATTATATATGGCTTCTAATAGATGTACTGCATAAAAACTTTGTAACTTCATTATTATGAAATATTGAAGATCTACAGTAAGAGTGAAACAGTCTCAAAGATTTGCATTAATGAGGACTACACAGAAAACCTTCCTGAGGATTTGTGTAGATCTGATGTTTGGCAAATTTTTGTATTTTACATTCTTTAAAAAAAGTCACATTTAAAAATTACACCTGTAAAACCAAAATATAAATAAAAACTTTTTAAAAATCTGTCTGAATTGTACTTTGTACTTTCATGTTTCGTAATGCTATGGTATTTTTATATATAGTGTTTTTTAAAGTTTTTTGCAGGGAAAGACTGGATTGTGTTTGTACTCCCGCCTCAACCTTCTAGAATGCCTGGATTGCTGGCATGCACCACCACTCCCAGCTTAAAATTAAGTTTGTTTTTAAAGCTAGCAAGAGAGCAATTATAAACCTGTGTAATAAATTCTGGCAAACAGACTGTGGTCTGCCTTTGATCATCAGTAGCAAAGGGGTGGGCTCTCATTTTGATAGCACCAGGCTCTGGTTAATGTGCCACTAATTCTTAGTGGTTAGTGCCTCAAAACAAGAAGAGTAAGCCAACTGTGGACAGTCGGAAAACAGAGAGGAATTGCCACCACATAGAGAAGAATAGTGGTATTGAAGGATAAGACTTCAAAACGTCTGAGATACACATAGAAAATTAATTGGGCTGGTTTCTGGGCAGGAAGGCCCCCGTTAAATGTGACATAGGGTTTGTGATGATAGGATGAAAAGACTGAAAGTCTGTTGTATTCAAGTTATTGTAAGAGATCAAAGAGGCTGAACATCCCCACAGTATTGTAAAGATTGAAGTTGTAAAGTTGAATTAAAGGGGTCTACCAAGCTCCACTATTTTAATTGGGAGTTTCAAGTTAATTAGCCAATTCCAAGTGGTTTTTTTTTTTTTTGTAATCAAAGAACAGCTTTTTAAAGAAACAAAATTAATTATAAAGACGTTAAATACTGATCCAAAAAGTACTGTTTTGTAGTCAAATTCTGATATCTGATTAAGCTTAATCAAATTCACAAACATGGATCTGTAATAGTAATTTGATATTTATGACAGCTCTCTGCCAAATTATGTCACTAATAACCTAAAACAATTTATAAATTTCTAAATTAACCAAAGCCTCTTATAAGGAACTATGAGCTACTTATATGAGTTCCTTATAAGGAACTATGAAGCTTCTTCACGGGGCTGTTGAAGATTGAGACAATGCTTGTAAAGCTCAGTGCGCAAGGGAGACCCCGAGACAGGACCTGGAGGGCAGAGTGACCCCCGCTGTCACCTAAGGCCACATGCAGCTTGAAGGCCCCGGTGCAGCAGTCCATTGGAGGGATGCAGGCCCTCCGCCCGCGCGGGCTCAAGGCCAGGGCTGCTTCATGTGGATAAGACTTGGGCAGCCCGTGGGCGCCGGGCCCACTGCACCAGGCTTTGACCCGCCCTGGGTGCAGAAGACTAACAGAAGCAGAGCCGTGGGCGCCAGGGCATTACAGAGTTCGCCAGGCAAGGGGAGCTGTGAGACCACCCCTCCGGGGAGGCACCCCAGCCCTCACACCAAGGAAGAACAGGTACAGGCTGATCAGCCACACTCCGCTTTACTGCGCTGAGTCGCGATGGCTCCCGGCCTGGGGGCACCAACTGGGAGGCCTCTCACAGGGCGAAGGGGGATGCAGCGAAGCTCCGGCCTCTTCTGGACTCCGCCCACCGCTCCCAGGGGCAGTGACTCTCCCTTCGCGAGGGAGACCCTGCTGCGTGCTGTGCATCCTAGCGGCTCCTCCGTGACATGGCCCCGCCTGGCAGCTGACTCCCAAGGGTTGTCCCTCGACAGCTCCCCGCGCCCTCTGAGGTGAGAGCGTTCCCATTCCCTCAACTGCCTGAGTGTCCCCAGCACCGGTCACCCAGCCACCAGTGCCCCCGCACCTCAGGACCCCAGGCCTTCCCCGGCAGAGGTGACCTCCAGGGCTCGCTCAGTCAGTGCTTCAGTGCCAGCTACCCGCCGGGCGAGACGGCCCCCAGAATCCAAAGGCCTCCCCTCCCCGTAGGTGAGCTGCTTTCTCAGCTTTGCCTGGGGGATCATGACGAGGGCCGGGGCCCCTTCATGGGTGGAGGAGCGCCCACAGGACCCCATGGCATGCGTGGCATCCTGACAGACTGCTTGCTCCCTGCCGCATCTGTGGGCCGCCTCTTGAGACGTCCCCGCTGGCCTGCCCCAGCCATACTATGAATCAGTGCCAATCAAGGGCCTCTACTTCCCGATGTCCGGCACGTGTGACTTGCCAGCCAGAGGGCTCCTTCCCATCTGCCTCCTTCCTTCCAGGCCGGCTTCCTGCTCAGGACCCGGGAGTTTTCTTTGAAATTGGTGTATTTATTTCTACGTATTAAATACATCAGTAGCTCAAAAAAAAAGAAAAAAAAAGAAAAGAAAAAGAAAAAGAATATTTCATCAGGCCCTGAAGAAATCCTATGCCCGTTAATGTCATTCCCCATACCTGTCCCACCAGCGTAGGCAACCACTATCTCATTTCTGTATCTGTAGGTGTGCTATTCTGAACATGTCATACAGGTGACGTGAATAGCCTTTTGCCAGGTTTTTTTTTTTCCTCTCATTGAGTTTATCGGTACATTTTAGGTATACAGTACAGTTACACTCATCATTGGGATCTTGTACCTTTACATGACAGGAGGTATTTTTCACTTAGTATATTTTCATTGTTCATTTGTGTCATAGCATGTATTTTATCTTTTTATAATCAGATAATGTCCCTTTGGGGCGAGATGTGGTGCCTATAATTCGAGCACTCAGGAGCCTAAGGAAGGGGGATTGAAAATTAGAAGCCAACCTGAGCAACTTACGGAGACCCTGTCTCTTAAAAAAAAAATAATAATAATAATATCCTTTTTGTGTGGATATATCACTGGTTATTTGGCTTTATTAAAAAAATTCAACTGTATACCCTTGGTAGAAATTTTAAGTACAAATGTTTTCCTGTGTCCTAGACATACACAGGAGTGGAATTGCTGAGACACGTACTATATGTAACTTTTACTGTGCTGGGGATTAAACCGAAGGCCTTTCACATGCTAGGCAAACACTCTACCCTTATGTTACAGCACCAGTTTCTGTTCATCCTAGAATTTGTTGATCCCTCTTAAGAGACTGTTCATGCTTTTACAGTCTTACCATCAAGCCCTTCACTAAATGGTCTTTAGACTGCTATTCTTTAAAACTTTGAATGGTATTTTTCATTTTCTCAATTTTATCTGCCTTTTGTGCTTTCAGTTTACTCCTCTTCCTCTTCTCTACCTTCAGTCATGGGAAAATACACACACACACACACACACACACACACATATACACACAGCAGGAAGACAGTTGGCAAAATCTGTGGCCAGAGTCTTTTCCTCATGCTCAAAGATTACTTTTTCCTGCCCATTTTGCCAGTTTAAAAATGTCACATCTGGTCACCTTTAACAGCTTTTTAAAAGCATAACTATGCAATTACAATTATGGTTAAAACAATGAAGAGAAAAAAATAACTAAGAAAGAATTACAAAAGAAATATAAGTGAGTTTAAGGATCTTTGAAGGTATGACATTAAAACAGGCCTAAGAGATGAACAGAAGCCATCAAGGAATAGTGAATTAAAATGCCTTCCAGTCAAGGAAAAGCATGTGCAACTCCCCTGACTTGGGAAGAATTCTAGCATTTTCCACACACCTATGAGAAGACCAATGTGTCTGGAACCCAGTGAGCCAGAGGAAAGAAGAAATAGGAAATGAAGTTGGGAAGATTGGCGAAGAGGGTGCAGTTCCTACCATTGAAGAATTTAGTTGTATTATAAATTAATTTTAGAATAAAAGCAGAAAAGGAAAAATCCTTAAGCAGGAGAGTGACTAATCCAGTAAGATGGACTCAAGATCATGAACAATCGGAAAATACTCAATTATATCTATGTAAACACACATAACTGTTTTAGTGCTCTCACTAATGACCAATAACCATTTCTAGGAGCCTGGACTATATAGTTCACTTTTTTTTTTTTCTTCCAAATGCTTTTTAAACTCATCAACTTGCTTTGAAGGAAAAAAAAAAAAAAGACAAACCTAAGCATAAACGTTAAATTGAGATCCCATTGTTCATGTATATCTGTACTCAAAGATCTTAGAGTATTTACTAGTTAAGTGAACTAAAGGGAAGTGCCTGTTCACGCTGTCCTTGGACACTCCTCCCCATCTTTACTTTTGTTGTGGTGAAGTCTCACTGTGTTGCCCAGGCTGGTCTCAAATTCATGAGCTCAAGTGATCCTCCACCTCAGCCTCCCAAGTTACTACAGCATTCACCATGGTGCCCAGTGGTTCTTTTCTATGGCAAACACTAATGAAAGATCATGGAGGCCAGGCAGGGTGGTGCACACCT